AAACAAGCCCTAATACCCTAGAGGACCCCACTAGAATATTCGTAGACTAAAAAAGTGAAGTTAACCTTGACCGTAAACAGGCAGTTATTTGGATATGAAGTAAGTCAGTTAATTACTGGTGATTTGATACCTAACAGTTTGAGCCTAGTGATGAGACATAAAAGATTGACTCTACTGAAATATTTTAACAAGTCTAAGTTTATAACAGTTAGCTCTTACCATCAGGGATGGTTTTCCATTTGTACACGGCGGTCAGTAGGTCGATTATACAACAGTGACCTTTTCTGGAACCGTACTTTTGAAGTGGATGACAGCTTATGGATAGTAAGCTGCCATGTAGACCGTCACATATCAGGGACTCCATAATTTGTAAGGGTACTAAGAGAAGTGCTACCGGTTTGCAGCCTGAAGGTTCTCTACGACGACCTCCTTTGAAAATTGGGGTGTTGTAAGCCAGCTTCCAATTTTTCGGTAGCATGCCTCGGCTTAGCGGATATGAGAATATCACAACAGGTGGCGTAGTTAAAATTAAAGCCGCTTCTCTCAGTATAGTAGAATGGACCATAACCGGACCAGGAGAAATATCTGGCAAAATTTAAGAAGATGGTTAATTTTACATGCAAAGCCTGCTCACACCACTCACCTCAATCAAAGATTCTTCGTTCCGTTACGACATACCCATTTTGATATGTTTTCAACTTATATTACTCAACGGTTGATTAGGAGTAAATAGCTTATGTATTTAGCATTTTAAAAATGAATACAACTCCCACATATCAAAAGCAAAAAATCTGAGGAGGTGGGGTAGCCTAATATTTCCGACTAATATATTTTTTAATGTTTTTGTTAATAAAATGAAATAGGTGAAACGATACGAAAATAATGGTTTTTGTTAAGTTAGATAAACGCAAGATATTAGTAGATGCATGATTACATTTTAAGCTGCAGCCAAAACTGTGGATATTTTTGACTGAATAATCGGCTGTGCTCATCTCACCATTTTAGTCACTTGTGCAAAATCGTCGTTCTTACTTGTTGATTCCGTGATTGTCATGTCAGGCAAACGGTCTAACAACACACATAGTAGTTCATGATCTAAATGAACTGGTTTCAACACATCAATACTTAAGAACTCGAGGTTTCCTTTACTTCTATCAGGAAATGTTTAGATTTCCTTGGTATATATTCGAGGGGACCTTTGAATGGAGGGTTAAGTTGTGTTTTTATTTTGTCACAACTGATCGAGACGTGCGTGCAATTGCTTAGATCCTTGGGTACATATGTGGCTTGCAATCGTTCAAGAGTAATAATTGGTTTGAGTTTGGACATATGATCTTGTAGTTGCTCTACGTAACTTTCTAAATCAGGCTTTTTACTGCCAGTGTGAGAGTTAATAAACTCGCCCGGTAATCTCAGAGTTGGTCCAAAAACTTGTTCCGCTGATGAACACCGTGAGTCAGTTTTGGCGGCTGTTCGCATTTTCGACTTAACCAATGGCAGGAATTCTGTCTACTGATTGAGGTTTGAGTATACTATAAGGGCAGCATTTAGTTGTCTGAGGAAACGTTCTACCATCTCATCAGCCTGAGAGTGATATGCAGTGCGTAGAAACTTAGCTAAGTTGTTAAATAGTGCAGATTCAAATTGTGCTCCTCTACCCGCCGTGATTGTTATAAGTGTACCAAAAATGGTCACCCGATTTCGCACGAAAACCTTGGCTATTGTTTCGGCTGTAATGTCCGTCATCGGTATGGCTACAGGAAATCTTGTGAATCGATCTATACATGTAAATAGATAATTAGAACCATTTGAGCGCGGTAACGAGTCTCTTAATTCGACATTCACATCGGCCAAACGCGCATCTGGTTGTGAGGGAGCGTCGATGGGTGAATTGATGTGACGATTAACTTTTGACCGTTAAAACACCGAACACTCTGTAAGCCGTTTGTGTACATCCTTTTTATAAATTTGGCCATATATATCTGGCATTGATTGGTTTAGTCGTGGCTTTTGTGCCAGGATGAGACAATCAATGAAAGCCATTATATATCAATTCTCGAATACTTTGGGGGACGAAAGTTCACGTCATTACCTTGGTTGTCTCACAGTAAATCACAATTCTGTCATTAGGCGACGGTAACTGCTTGAGTTTGAGACTAGGGTTATTTGATATAGGTAGGCTTTACAATACTTGATCCCCTTCCTGGTTGTCTCCCAACGTCTCGAAATTACTGTAATACATTGTAATACATTTATTTCTAGTCGAGATAACTCGCCTGCCGCCTGATTTTCCTGACATTAGACATGTCGGATATTACTTATGAATTGTGATATATATTCAAGGTGTCGGACTTATCGAAGTAAGCATTTATCAACTCTCGCTTTTAGTGCACTGGTCAATGGTTTGTGATTCGTAAAAACTATGGAGTCCCTGCCATCCAACATGTGTCGGAAATGCTTAGTGGTTAGGTAGATTGAGAGGTCTCGTATGAAGGCAGAATATATGTCTCTGTTGGAGCAAGTATTTTTGAGAAAAAAGTATTTGGTTTCCAGGCGTTTTTACCAGTTGATTAGGGGTACCGCCTACTGCTTTGTCAGAAGCATCCACCACCAAAGCAAGTGGGGAAAGGGGATTCGAATACATCATCGTAGATGCTTGAGCCAGTTTATCTTTTTGCTGTTCAATAGTTTCACCGGCTTCATAGGTCAGCTTGAATTCTTTTGGTTTTCCTTTGAGGGAGTTTGTCGAATGTTGTAATAATTGTACACAACCGTGGATGAATCTTCGATGAAAGTTAATCAGAACAAGAAACCACCTAGGTTATTTTAGAGAACTAGGTATCGGGTATTGTCCGATGGAGTCCACCTCTTCTTTGATCATCGTAACCTCTTCTAGGCTTATTGTGTGGCCGAAGACACTTACTTTGATGTATGTTCATTCCATTTTCATCCGACAGTTTTAACACTGCTTTGATATGCTGCTCTTGTGATTGTAAATCAGGACTGGCAATTAACAAATCGTCTATATGTCCCTGTGCAAGTAGCATATCCCGAAGTAGGTTATGCATAAATCTTTGGAATGTTTATTCCGCGTCCCTTAGGCCGAATGGCATGCATCTTTCTCAGCCACTGGGATATTGTGATATGCCCTAACCCAGTCAACTTTAGTAAATATGTTCATAATCTGCAAGCTGTTCCTAAAATCTTGGATATGCGGTATCGAGTACCTATCTGGTACGGTTTGACAATTAAAGGATCTTTAATCTCCATTTGGTCGCCAATCGCCTTCACTTTTCTTTAGGACTATGTGCAAAGGGATGACTATCAAATGGGCTGATGTAGTCGGATTTAGCTCTAGCAATTTTGAGCTTATCTGGTACTAGTCTACCGTAGTTTACTTTTGGAAGGCTGAGGGTTTGGTTTTGTTAAGTTTGAAAATTCCGCGGGTATATCCTCGAGTTTTGATGTTGTTACTGGAGTTCGTGTTGGGTTTAGAGATTTGATGTGACTTTCTTTACCTTTTTCGCATCCAAACAGTGTTGGACGTAGTATGGAAGAGCTCGTATCCATCCTTGTTTTATGACTACTTCACCCACTATGTAGTATTCCGATAAGACTTGGAAGTGACGTAAAAGCTGTGATGGTGACTTATCACCCAACATTTCTCCTTGACAAAGCCTTTGGATTATTCAGCCATCTGAACGTGAAGTAGGTAGGGGCATCTGAAGGCGTGAGTTAAATTATTTGTTTCCTCAGTAGAATCATGAATTGTGAATCAAATTAGTTGCTGACAGCGAAGTGAGGATACTGGATATAACTCACTTAACCTTTCCGACTCATCTCCATGAATTACTTACGAAGCTACAATTCAGTAACAATATCAACTATTGAAGATAACTGATAAACGCATCCAACACGACCATCTTTCAAAACCGTTATATTTAGAGGTTCAAAAGATAAATAATGAGGCGATTACACCAACTTATTTAACCCCCGGTACCATTTTATTTTAACACAGCGACTAATCAAGCCTTGAAAACGAAACCACGTCCAAACACGAACAAAATCTAACGGGTTGCAGAAAGCTACTGATAACTCCACATGACCAAACAAAACATCAGTAATCAGCATTTTTACCCACACTTCTCATCAACGCTAAACTTCAGTAAATAGTCCAACCCGGTTTCGGGCTAACGCTGAGTCAAAATGTTAGGACTGAAGAGCACGAGAGTGCGATATAAAATTGGCATTTCTAGACCCAAACCATATTTGCGATGCAAGTTAATAAATTTTTTTTAACTAAACCATCTTTCCTAAAACTTGGACTTAGATTCAGGAGAATAGGTATTATGTAAAGAAACCAAAGGCTAGATTTGAACACTATTTAAGCCAGATTAAGTCTTCAATAGGCAAGCTACCTTCCTTTCTGTTGAAGAAAGAAACCTTAGGACTATGGCTCATTGCCTCGAGATCGCAGCTAAAGGTGCGAAACCCCTTAGACTTTAAAATAGACATTTAGTGAAATCTAAACTTGAAAACTCAGGCTCCAAATCCTGTTTAAAAGGTGATTCAGATATCCTGAAGGAAGTACATAGAGCAACTACCTGTGAAACTCCAGGATTCCGGGGTTCGCAGTGCAAAGAGTGGTTGAACCACTTAACTATGCATTACCGTAGATCTCATTTCGATGTATGGAACACTAGGAAATAATATTGGATATGAGATATCCTCTACTTTTCTTTCTAGCAGATTAGGACAACTCAGAGGAGCCGTTAACGGACAAAATACCAGTTGCATACAGGTTTTCACAGAGAGTCGTCAATTCTTGAAGCCTGTTACTCGAAGCAGTGGTGTCCGTATCTTCAATTGAATCATTCAAGAAGAGACTCAATACTCTCAGAAGTTTACTAAAAAATGAATAACATAATCTGAAGGCCCTCTGTCTTTACTACACAAATGTGAAATTACACGAGATTTGTTGTTTGAATTCACTAATAAGAGTTACGGTATGCAGTTTAGCAGGTTTTCGAAAATCCCGACTGTGAGATGGTTGGTCCGTTCCATCGTTTGTCATATTTTAAGAAGACTCTTAGCTTGAGTTCTGAAAGTAAGTTAGTCGTTTTTTTTTAATTGCGCCAAGGTGCGGTTAGGTGTCTACACCACGCGCGAGTCAGAGTAGCGAATCCAGTTGTTGATTTGGATGGGGACGAAATGACTCATATAATCTGGGATAAAATCAAATCCACTGTAACTAAAAATGATATTTATCGGATATATAGTAGCTTATATTTCCATTCGTAGACGTTGAGTGTAAATATTATGACTTGGGACTTCCCAATCGTGACCGAACTAATGATCAAGTGACGATTGATGCCGCACATGCTATTAAACAGTATAATGTGGGGATCAAGTGTGCGACCATAACTCCTGATGAAGAGCGCGTCAAGGGTTTGTAATTTCGGATCATCGGTGATTTTCAGAGTTCAATTTAAAAAAGATGTGGCTGTCTCCAAATGGGACTATTCGTAATATCCTTGGTGGTACTGTTTTCCGCGAACCTATTTTATGTTCAAACGTTCCTCGACTTGTTCCTGGGTGGACAAAACCGATTGTTATTGGTCGTCATGCACATGGAGATCAAGTAACCTAACCTGTTTAAATGCAAATAAACTATGTAATTATTAGCCGAAAGTTAAATATAAAATACTGCGTTTATTAAAATCAGAAGTATATAAGGGTGAAACACTTGCGCCTAAATTTACGATTGACTTTGCTTTGTCCTAGCCGTGTTCGTCTTACCCTGTATTTATGTATCCATTCCTCATCTTCTCTGTGATCTTGATTTTTAAGTTGATCTTATTGTTTTTGTTTCGAATAACTGTGACCGTCATTATTTAAATCAATGGAAGTTCGTCTCTTGCAGTAGTAACATTTTCGCCTAAAATTGTTTATAATAGAATCAGTGTTTCATTGCTCATTTTCATGTGCGCCATATATGACTAACACTTCCATTGTCTTCATACATTTTAAACTCATTATTGTTATTGAAAACCCAAGGTACCCGACTAACAAACTTACGAGTTTCTTTTTATTCTTGTGACACCATATTTTCTTTTCCTCAGTCGTCCGTGGTTAGGTTCTTCAGACAGTGAAAATCATCAATTTCTATTACTATTAGAAGGGTTATTATCCAAAAATGAACTTCCCTTCGTTAGCTGACATCGGTACTTAAAGTTTCATTGCCTTATCGTAGTTTCTGTTCATGATTTACGTAATCCTATCCTGCATAAGGCATCCTGTCTTTGATGACATAGTGTCACTTGTTATTTCGCCAAACATTATATTTTCATAACTTTGTACAGAATGTGAAATCGCCTTCAGTTCCAGATAAGAATTGTTAGTTTTTGAATATTACTTTATAACTTCTCCATTTACTGTTGTTAGGGCACACAATGTTAATCCAAATGTATTGTCAAGACGACTAAATCTGCCTGTTCACTATCCCGACTTGTAACAATACCAGTGAACTAGATGTGTTTGGAAAGTTTCAGTTTGAGTCTGTAAATAACAGGGGGCTGAGTGGCCTGTGTTGGTCATGACAATAGTGGTCTTCCAGCTGACCTAACCTTCGAATGGATTAACGGATGGAGCTTCAGTCACGTATTGAAGTAATGAATTCCATTCGTTGATGATGCGATTAAAAAGTCGATAGTTAGCTGACAAGTTAAGGCTTTTTACTCGAACGCTACTAGTTGAGTCAAAGCTTATGGCGAAGTATCACCTAAATTTGCAACCTCCAGTGGTGTCCCTCAAGGCTGTCCACTATCTCCAATTTTGTTCAACTCCATCATAAACATATTGATGGAAATAACGTTCTCGTCGATTGCGTTCCCGGGCATTGGTCTCCTTCCAAGAGGTCCACTTATCGACTTAGAATACACAGATGACGTAGTCCTGTTTGGCGAATTTATTTATTTATCTGAACACAAATATTATTACAAAGGAGCACCGAATACATATGCTCCACACAAGTCACTTGATTGTGTGTGGACTGTTATACTGCCCGGGTGCCCAAACCGAAGCGGGTTCTGTTCTACTGTACGGCTGCGAAACATGGCCATTAATGGTTGAATATACTCGTAAGTTGTTAGTATTTGATCACGTATGTCTTAGAAATATTGCTCGCATCTGCAGGGATCACCGGGTAAGCAACAGTGAGGTTAGACAAAGGGTATTAGTGAATGATGGTAAATCAGTTGATGAGGTTTTGAATCTCCATCGACTGAGATAGTTGAGCCACGTGTTACGTATGTTTGAACACCGATTACCACAACGCGCAATGCTGACTAGTGTTGTGGATAATTAGAATAAAGTTAGCGGCGGTCAAACGAAAACGTGGCATCAGTGCTTGAGGTCACTAACTTCTAGCCTGAACCATGTTGGAAGATGCAGACTACTTGGTTTGGTGTCCGCGTGCCTATCGTAACCGGTAGATTGCAAACTGTGGGTGACATGGCTCAGAATCGACCACAATGGCGTAGGTTTATACACTCTGTATTTTAAACTACGAACCGGTGTTCATCTTGTGCTAATGAGGTATGGTAACTCGGACCGATGCATATATGTACCCGGTCCTACGTTGTAGCTGTCTGACAACTCATTCAAATTTTTCCAGTCTACCATAGGATCGAACCCTTGATGGCCAAGTATTGAATCCTTCTAGCTGGACTTCATTCATTTTGGTTTGGACTGTGGTAAACCAAAACAATCAACGGCTGTTGTCGTTTGCATTTTAAGATTCAAACTAACCAATTCTAATTTTCTACTCATGCGATATGTTGTCGATAATGATAAAGAGAATAGGATTCCTAATAAATAAAGCTGCTTTTCCACACTTACGGGTTTTGTCGGCTCTTACTAATGTGATATTTTCAAATTGAGTTCCTCATTGTCTATCGAAAGTCAGTCAAGTTTCTGTGACGGCGACTACATCCAGCTTGGTAGTCTATCTATACACTTAGCTCAGACCGCTTGTTGAGTAAGCTCTGAGCATTTGTGTAACACATACGGAAGCAATTTAAATGGATTCGTTCTGCACCAAAGTGACCTTGGCGTCATTTTCTGTCGAAACCTAACCACTCCAAAATTCACAATTTCAAGGTCCTTCTCACCAGGATCTAACCTTAGTTTTAGTTCTCTTTTTAGCTACTGATCTTTTTATGTAGTCCGCGAGCAACGAGTCTGCCTACAAAGACTCACCATCCCTTTAGTTTATATCCATTCTGTAGTATTCAGTCCCTTTCATTGGGAGATTTAAATACTACATTTAGCAGTCTGGTTCGATTTTCTTTCAAGTCTGTCTGGCTACCTAGTCTATAAAACTTCAGCAAGGTTACCCAAGAAATATCTTGAGTCATTAGCTGGTTACGTAGACCTTTTATCAGCCCAGTGTCATGCTCAAAACATGTTCTAGGCTCAGAGCTCTCACCTTCTTTGACTGTATGAAAGATGGCTAACCTGTCACTATGGATAGTCTTTGATTTCTCAACTATTGTTGGGAAGACTGGCTTTTGTTTAATAATATTCGGTCATGCTTTAGTCTTGATTTTTACCCATTCATCAGTTTTCACTGGAGTGGCAATTACATTCGCGTTACATACTGTAATATCCTGGATGATTGTCTATGTCTTAGGTGGTCAGTTTGTTTTTATTACTAGAAAGAGACCTAGCGTTGCGACTAGTTTTTCAAGGCGTTCCATGACTACCGCTACTTGGAGGGCGGGGCACAGAAGGAACCTCTCTTCTTGAATTTTCGTCCTCAACAGACCACTTTGAATTCAGTTCTTCCTGCGTTTGATTATATAATTCAATCAACTCTGAGCCTGTTTGGGACGAGTGCACACCGATTTATGTATCGACAGACAGAACATCATTACATGCATTTCGGTTGCGCTTGCTAATATGCCGTTAAGCAGCGTTCACCATTGCAAGTTGTTTGCACTCGAGCAGTATCTATCTTTACCAAATCGTTTGAAAACAACAGGCGTGCAAACTTTGTGGTACTATTATTTGCACTCATTGCGCTGCATGCTACTCTCCACAGGGTATCCACAGCCTGGGCGTTGACAATTGCTTCTTTTGCACTTCCGAGTCATCAATCAGAGGTTTTCAAATGACTTCGATATGACAGTGTGTATAGGAGAAACTTATGGAACCTTCTTGGACACTTTTATGAGTAGTTGGGAAAATCATCAACATCATACAGAATTCATACGATGAATTACACTACAAGTTGTGAATGGAGGGCAGCTGACAGATGCATTCCAAGTAAGGACCGGAGTCAGACAAAGCCGCTTACTCTCCTTCTTTCTCTTTCTTCTGGTGGTTGACTGGTTTATAAAGACCTCGACATCTGAGGTGAAGCATGGAATACAATGGATAACTCAGAACCTATTAGAAGATTTGAACTTGACAGATTACCTGGTCCTTCTATCCCATACACATCAAAAAATGAAAATAAAGACAACTAAAGTAGCAGCAGCTTCTGCATCAGTAGCCAAGATCCTCAAGTACAACACGGAGAACCCCAAACAACCCAATCACACTTGATGGAGAAACTCTGGAAGATGTAGAATCCTTCATGTACCTATTTATTCAGTCAGTCAGTCAGTAACAACGTGGAACTTCGTACGTACGTACATCAGTTCGAGTTGCCATACCACATTAGCACAGAGATTCAGTTATCGATTCAAATCCCATAGTGGTAGAGGTACTGAAAGTATAAGTAGAGATAGGAGACATTAAGGTTTGATGATGTTATTAAAGGAGTATAGTCCAGTGGAATAAATTGGGAAAGAAAATAAAGGACATGAAGAATTCAGAAGATTAGAGTTTGAGAGAACACAAAGAGTGGATGCACCTGCGCCATTGCAAACGATTTTGAGCCATGTCATTCAAGGTCTCTAACCATCGGTTGCTATCGTCTCGCGGTCCCCAACCAGGTAGTCTACACCTACCAACATGACTCAGTCCACTTGTCAGTGACTTCATGGATTTGTGCCATGTTTTGGTCTGGCCGCCCCTAGCTTTCTTCCAACCTACTCCTACACCATAAAACATCGCACGTCGTGGCAGTCGGTGGTCGGGCATGCGCAACACATGTCCCAGCCATCTCAAATGATTGAGTTTCACTACTTCCTCAATTGATTTTCCATCCTTACCTAGTACCCGTTTCCTAACAACTGAGTTACTTACTCGGTGGTCCCAGGATATACGAGCAATGCTTCGAAGACATCTATGGTCAAATACTAGTAACCTACGAATATCCTCTACTCTTACCGGCCATGTTTCACTGCCATAAAGTAGGACGGAACGAACTGCTGCGCAGTAAACACGTCCTTTGGTTGATAGACGGATATCTCGCCTACGCCACAAATGACGCAAGTTGGCAAAAGCTAGTCGAGCCTTTTGTATCCGTGCTGAGATTTCGTCACACACCAAACCACAAGGGCTGATGAGACTTCCGAGATAAGTGAAGCGGTCGACACGCTCAACTACTTCACTCCCTATCACTAGTTCGGGTGTCGACGCGACCCAATCCTGAAGCAACATTTTGCATTTCGAGGGAGAGAATCGCATGCCGAACATGCTTGCATTGTTGCTTAGAGTGGTCAGTAGACTCTGCATTCTGTCAGCGTCTTCACTAAATAGAACTATGTCATCGGCATATTCTAAGTCAACAAGTGGATCTCCCGGTAGAAGTTCAACTCCTGGAAATTTAGATGAGGAAAGTGTCATCTCTAAAAGGACGTCAACAACAAAGTTAAACATAAGTATAGGTACAGGAAGGCACCAAATACATATGCGCCACACGAATCTCAATTGATTTGTGTGAGGGCTGTGATACTGCCCGGGTGCCCAAACCGAAGCAGGTACCTGGGAAGCATCGATGAATAAGGAGGATCAGGGCTGCATTCTCAGAATTGAAGAACATATGGAACTCAAAACAACTTCCAACCAATATCAAAGTCAGAATCTTCAATACGAACGTCGAGACAGTTCTACTGTATGGAACTAAAACTTGGAGAACTACTACAACCATGATCAAAACGTACAAGTATTTCTAGACAACTGTCTACACAAGATACTGTAGTGTTGGTCATTATGTTAAGCCCGAATACCTTATTATTCTAACTTTTGGACAGCCCATTCTATTCATTCTACTTGAGTCACATTTTGACCTTGTTAATTATTCGCTTATTAATTTTGACTGCCTTTATATGAGCACGTAGGCGTATGTACATTTCTTATCCCGTTACTCATCACATGTCTGTAATTTATTTTTGTGTGCTTATAAATATTGATTAACGCTTGGTTAATAAGGAGTTGGCCTACCAGCCATCTCCACCGCGCGTCAATTTTGCTTCGCTTTCTTCTCATCGTTTCCCCGTTCGTTTGCTTGATCAACGATTCTACAATACTTAGTGTCCGTTGGCCGGATATTATCAGCCAAAGTCTACTGTAGGAGAGAACAAACCAGCTTCCATATGAAGAGGAAATTAAGGCAAGACGTTGGAAATGGATAGGATATACATTGCGAAAATCATCGATTTGCATCATGAAGCAAGCGCTAACTTTGAATCGTGAAGTGAAACGAAAAAATGGCAGACCAACGAACTTACTACGTCAAGTATTGGAAACAGACATCAAAAGGATGAATAGCGACTGGAACGGTGAGTAAAGGACTGAATTGGATGGAGAATGCTAATAAGCGACCTATGCTCCTCCACGAGGAGTAAGCACGTAATTAGTAAAAATGCCACTAAGTTAATAAAAAAACTCGAAATGAGGAAGTTTACAATTGACTGATCACTTAATAATGACGGGTGTCCTATTTTTCGAATCCTTAGTGTCGATCGAATTTTACTGATCAAGTTGCAATGTGGGCACTAGTCTAGGTAACTCGACATCACATTCATTATGCTGAAAAGTAAGGTGGTTTGAAGACTAACTCCATTAAGATTAGAAAATCAGATGGTTTGTGTTTTTTTGCGTATGCACCATTGTTATAATTGTAATACCTGAATATCGTATGTAGTACAGGTTTTCCAGTGTTATTACCGGTTTACATAAATATATGTATGCGTCTGCCGTCTGATTAACCATGTGCCACTGACTAAAATTCTTCCTTAACTCTAGATTTTATTGACTCATAACTTCCTCACTAAGTTAACTTTTTTTAAACTTATACTTATTTGTTTCTTACCTTTGCAATATCACACCGTTCTACTTGAAAAATCTTGATGCTTATGATATGCGCTTCTTAGTGAGGAATAGTATTTTTACTATGTATTATTTTTTCACTTGATACCTGTCTACAAAATTTCGGCACATTCATAAAAATGTCTTGCTTTTGCTTGCTTTTTCCACATTTGGCACAAGTGAGATTTATACGAAAGAGCAATTACACTGCTTGCCTATGCATTGTTTTATAATTGATATATCGTATTGTAGATCGTGAGAATTTATACGGATATATACTGTTTGCCCTACATTTCTTTCCTTATTTATCTATCTTATTCTCTCACTTATGTAGTGGTCACTGGTTAACTTCATTTCTTTTTCGCGCTTTCCATTGTCTTAATTATTTTCCTGTATGAGTATTATATATTTAATAATCCATATATTTCAATTTGTTTTTACAAGTACAAAGCTACAGATATGGTCATTAAAGAACAAGGTGTTTTGGAACTTGTATTTACACCCAAATCGTCCGGACTTGAAAAACGTGTGAAAGTTTTCGAATTCAACGGAGGTGGAATAGGCCTTAGTATGTACAATACAGATGAAGTATGTAAATAGCGGCTTTTACTTGATGGTTTGATTAATGCTTGTCATTTAACTCTATATTATGTTCAAAAATGACGTCTAATGTTCCAATTATGTTCCGCGAAATCCTAATTTAGTTTATATATATTCAGTAAGTCATTTTAGCTTAAGTGAGGAATTTATGCTGCCAAGTTTATCTGTAGTTTGTTGCAGTCCCAATTCAAGGGTTGGTAGACCGACTTTGTATTAAATTCCTACAATACATTTGTCATACTCAACAAAAAGTGTGATATGCAAATAATCTTATTTCCATATTTACCACCAGTCATTCAAGTTTACAATATTTCACTCCAAAATTCCATTTCTTGATTGACTGATCAAAAATGGTGGAACAGTTAAGAGATTATGTGTTGAAAATCAAATGGGGGTGAATAATTGAATACATTTCCAGGTTATGTACCTTTAACGAATATATAATCAAGCATCATAACTATATAAAAAGTAAATAATTATAGCGAATAGTTACTTAAAAGTTTGGGTTTGGTTCTGATTGGAACGATCCAGACTTCACAAATTCATAGTTCTAAGGTGATTTCGAATACAATGACTCCTCTATAAATAAAATAATATATATAATAGTGAGTAGAAAAATGAGATTTTCTGACGTTTCGTGATTCAGTGTAAACCATTTCTTCAGAGAATAAATAATCTAGTCAAAATTAATCCAAGTTTAAATAGTACAGAGGAACAACGCAAGAGTATTAGGTGCGATCAGTCAAAAAACACTTCTGAACGAGTCCATTCCGCAAGTGATGAAAGTCGGTAGATGCTAATCGTGCCGAAATTTTGTTAGACATCTGTCTATCAGAACTGATGCGACTCTCAAGTGAAGAGGGCAATACACTGAACTACTTCACTACTTACCATTAATTTAAGCGCTGACACATGCCTAGTAGACGGTCAATAGTTTACTTAAGAGCGAAGAGTGGATTAATAATAATTACGGTGTATTTAAAAGTGATAACCAATTCAAGAAATGTATTCATATCAGAAAAACAACAATTATAATTTATTAGATTTTTACAATCAATATTGAAAGACGTAAAAATTAAATTGAATTAAAAAGAAGAAAAGCACTAATGAGATCTATTTACAAATTGTGCTTATTTTATTTCCATATCTCCAACCTTGAATTTAAGCGATATGTTGTGTGTTATACTTTTGGAAGCCTTGTTGAATCGGTTGATTTCAAAGATATTTTGTGTGCCAAACCACCTTATAACAAACTATAGTCATTTGTCTTTTGGATAAAGCAAAAGTTACCACAACTGAAAGTTCTAAAATGTGCTCTCTAAGCTTCGATATCAAACTCTATTCTTCACATGTAAGCGCATCTGTCAATATAGTGTAGTGAAGAGTAACAAAGTATGTAGTATAATCACCATATTCAACTTCAAATCTTTCTGTTTTTATCACCCACAAGATCCATCAAACAATTCTTAGAGGTCCAGGCTCAAACTTGCTTCACTCTTCAGAGGCTTTCATTATGTATAGTTTAGAGCATATACAGAATATTTAATGGTGTATCTCTATCTAATTTTATTATACTTAATCTTTACGTAATGTTCATACATTTATTTTTATTTCATTGCAAAAAATGTTTCCACTCATAATTATTATTCTCATTATAACTGATTTCAAACTGTCAAACTCATTGTACTTTTACTTTCTCTTTTTATATTAATCATTAAATATTTCCTAAATTTCATAGACTTTTCCATAGTTATTTGCTCATTTAGTAAAATTATGCACAGCTTATACCATAGTAAGCCCGCGAATGCCCTGGTACAACCGAGGGTGGGGAGAGTCCGCTCTCACTCTCGAAATGCTCTCACATGGTCACGAGTATACAACCTCTGCCAGGGAAGTCCTACTTACTGTCTTCTCAAGGCCGTGGTGCCGTTTACGAAATTGATAGCGCATGTCCGTCGCTTTAACCAGGTTGGTGGGTATGAAAGATTCACCTAGGGGAATTGGAAAACACTCATTCAAAACCAGTGGTGCACATGGGCTCCAGTATCCTTAAGGAACAAATGGCGTATGAACCAATTATCGGTCACCGGCTACCATGGGACTGCATCTCCTCACGTCGCTCCACTGGCCTTGTGGATCAGACTTTTAGGTCAAAGACTCCGGGTGTGGTCCTCTAAGAAAACCACCTGCTTCGGTCTGGGAACCCGAACAGTATCAAACCCCACATATAAATCAAATCACTTATATGCTCCCAAATGCCCTGGTACAGCCGAGAGTAGGGAGAGTCCACTCTCCCTCTCAAAATGCTCTCACATGATCACGCGTATATAGCCTCTACCAGAGAAGTCCTACTCACTGCCTTCACGTGGCATTACTGTTGTTTACGAAAATGAGAGGACGAAAAGCGAATGTCTGGAGCTTTAATCGGATCCCAAACCAGTGGTGCACATGGGTTCCAATATCCTTAAGGAACAAATGACGTATGAACCAATTATCGGTCACCGGCTACCATGGGACTGCATCTCCTCACGTCGCTCCACTGGCCTTGTGGATCAGACTTTTAGGTCAAAGACTCCGAGTGTCGTCCTCTAAGAAAACCACCTGCTTCGGTCTGGGAACCCGAACAGTATCAAACCCCACATATAAATCAAATCACTTGTATGCTCCCAAATGCCCTGGTACAGCCGAGAGTAGGGAGAGTCCACTCTCCCTCTCAAAATGCTCTCACATGACCACGCGTATATAGCCTCTACCAGAGAAGTCCTACTCACTGCCTTCACGTGGCATTACTGTTGTTTACGAAAATGAGAGGACGAAAAGCGAATGTCTGGAGCTTTAATCGGATCCCAAACCAGTGGTGCACATGGGTTCCAGTATCCTTAAGGAACAAATGACGTATGAACCAATTATCGGTCACCGGCTACCATGGGACTGCATCTCCTCACGTCGCTCCACTAGCCTTGTGGATCAGACTTTTAGGTCAAAGACTCCGAGTGTGGTCCTCTAAGTAAACCACCTACTTCGGTTTGGGCACCCAGGCAGTATCACATCCCACACACAAATCAATTGACTTATATGGTGCACATGTATTCGATGCCCCTTTGTACTAATATTAATGTGTTCAAATAAATAATGATAGTTTATTAAACTTGCAAATTTCCGTTATCTTGATAATTTTTTTCTTTTATTTATTTAGAGTATTTATGGTTTTGCACGTAGCTGTTTTGAATATGCATTAAATAAAAATTGGCCTTTATATTTAAGTACTAAAAACACTATCTTGAAGCAATATGATGGTAGATTCAAAGATATATTTCAAGAGGTATATAACCAGTAAGAAACTTGACTTTTAATCCATTTATTATTATTATTAATATACTTTCTTTAACTATTTTATAAATGTATGTACAGTCAAAATGATGATTATCAAATTTTTTTTATTATTTAATCATGATGTAGTCTATAGCAGTGGTCTTGAGTGCTGTTAGAGGTATGAGGGCAATTATCACTTCCCGGTTGCCCACACCGTGGAAGGGTTCTTCCGGAGGTACCTGAAAAGGAAATTGGATTAGAGGTAGTCATTGTGACCTGAGAGTGTGACCGCAGTGCCCAAGGTACAGCTGCTTGAGGTCGGTCACACACGACCTTTTTATGAGTAATTTTTGTGTTAGCTCCGTACTTGTTGAGACCTTACCGCCGGAGACGGATATCTGTGGGATAAGGCGAGGTGTGCATTTTTCGTGTTGACATTTCCTACCCACACCCATCCTTGTGGGAAGGCAGCATCGCTGTTATACTGGTTGTCTGAAGGAAACACCTTACTGCTATCACACCTCTGTACAGTCAGCAGTACGACTTTGCCTTCAGACCTTGGATTTGTTGCTTTTAGTCTTACCGCTCTTCAACCGACCTGTCTGGCATGGTAGGACCTCGAGGAACGATTGTTCCAGCCAGTATAGCTCGATTGGTTCATCACAATAGGCAAACCCGACCACCACGTCAAGGTAGCAACAACCGAATCGATCACAATGGCGACGGTGTATACACTCCCTGTCTTCCTTATACTAAGAGATTAAAATCACTTCAAATCTTTCTTTCTAGGAACTAATTCTATCTTCCTGTACTATCTCCTTATACACACTCTTTCTTCTATATATTACCACCACTGAATTAACTACTTCTATGAATCCGGTGTTCATCTTGTTGTGCTCATGCGGTATGGCAACTTGGACCGATGCATATACGTGCCTGGTCCTACGTTGCAGCTGACTGACTGAGTCTATAGCACAATAATAAAGGACAGAAATAAGCACTATATTAAATATAATAACGTTACTTTAGTGTATTTGGTATATGGTGGTTAATAAGGGAATCCAAAATGTCCATTCCGTTCTATCTAAGTCTTGTTTGCTAAATGTTCTTACATGTTAGCGTTGATGTTCACTTTGGGACTCGAACCCAGCGCTTTCCGCTTCTAAAACGTGTATAGCAATAGAAAGTGATTAATTCCAGTTCTAAATGGCAACGACAGGAACTTCTAAACCTTTTATAATGAGAATCTACTGTTAGAAGAAACAAAAAGAGAAAGTCAATAATGTTAGTAATAATATTAAAAGCAATATAAAACATTAAAAAGATAAATTTCAAACAAGAACTCAATTGATTTCGTTCAGCTTAAAGTTAGGTCTTACGGTTTACCAATAATATGGCAGCTATATATGGCAAAATCTACTGGATAGCACAATTTTTTGGACCCTGACAAGGAAGTTGTAAGCTACCGCATAGCAGTAATCTAGCAAACTGTTTTTCTTTTTGTGACTTACAGAAGGCAGAAGTGTTCCATATTTCTTCCAATGAGTAAATTGTCTAATGGCAAAATAGTCATTTTACTTTAACTCTCCATCTTATTCATTTATTCTTTTCTATCATTTCCGTGGAATTATTTTATATAGTTCATGTTTGAATATTGGTTAAGTAGTCACTAAGTTTACTGCTAACCTATTAACCTAAGGAAGAAGTATCGTTCAACGGTTTGGCAATCAGGCATTAATGACTGCCCACATACATTTAACAGTATTTGTATATATCTTGTTTATAGTAATATCCCTTTCAACAATTACGTCGTACATAAAAAAATTCTTAGGTAAATGTCCAGTGCGCTATTATCATTTTTATTTATATATCTATCTTATAAGGGATTATCAAAAGAAGTTTGAAAATAATAAAATCTGGTATGAACATCGATTAATTGATGATATGGTGGCACAAACACTTAAATCAGATGGTGGTTTCGTTTGGGCTTGTAAAAATTATGATGGTGATGTTCAAAGTGATGTCATTGCTCAGGGTAATTTCAACCTTCTTAACTATGATTTTTAGAGTACAATTAAGATCATTGATTTCTGTCTGATCTATATTGACTTACTGTTTACATGTTTTCAATCACTGACTACATCAAAATCAGTAACTGATGTACCTTTGTCGTTAAAGCCAAAAATATCCTTAAATTTGATTAGATTTGAAATTGACAAAATATTAAAGTCACAAACAGGTCGAAATCAATGAATTTTTTGCGATAATGGGCTTATTGCTTTACCAAATAATCTATGAAATTTGATTGCCGGAAGGTCCAGTATTTTATTGTGACCAACAAATAAGTTCAATCGATACGTAATCAGTCTGTTCTAGTTATCATTTATTATCTGCATTCTGACATAACTCGGAATTTTGAAAAATCTCCATTAACCTATTCTGAAATTTGGATTTTCGCTTGTCATTTAATTACTTATTCATTTATTATTATTTATTTGAACATATTAATATTAGTACAAAGGGGCATCGAATAAATGTGCATTATATAAGTCAATTGATTTGTGTGTGAGATGTGATACTGCCTGGGTGCTCAAACCGAAGTAGGTGGTTGTCTTAGAGGACCACACCCGGAGTCTTTGACCTAAAAGTCTGATCCACAAGGCTGTGAAGCAACGTGAGGAGATGCAGTCCCATGGTAGCCGGTGACCGATAATTAGTTCATACGTCATTTGTTCCTTAAGGATACTGGAGCCCATGTGCACCACTGGTTTTGAATGAGGGTTTTTCAACTCCTCTAGGTGGATCCTGCATATCCACCAACGCGGTTAAAGCGCTGAACATTCGCTCTCCGTCCTCTCGATTTTGTAAACGACACCACCGCCTTGAGAATACAGTGATTAGGACTTCCCTGACAGTGACTGTGTACGCGTGACCATGTGAGAGTATTTCGAGAGTGAGAGCGGACTCCCCTCACCCTCGGTTGTACTAGGACGTCTGAGGGCCATTTAATTATCTGAAGTTGTTGATTCGGAATCTCCAAGGAGTGATCGAATTCCCTGCTACCTGACTAAACGATATATATATATATATAACTTGGAAAACAGATTCAACGAATATAAAATGTGGGCCATGTAAATCAATGAGCAAATATCATTTGAAGTAATTATACTTCCAATTAAAATCATGAACTGTTTCAATGTAGGCAATCATTGATATCTGAAAACACTGGAAAGTCTTTTCTTCCTGAAGTGAGACTCTTCGGTAGTACTCATTCATGGCCTCACGCGCGAATGTTTAACCTGCAAACTACTGAGCTGGCATTCAATGATGTAAAAACCTAATTACAATCAATCCGCGATGTCGCAGGACTATTTTACATTGTCTTTGGTAGATAAATTTCTTAAATCCGACACTGATCATGGCTTCTCACTAGAACTCCAGAAATTTCCTGTCGAAGCTATCTGTTAATAATGGGCGCATGATAATTGTCAATATGGGTTTGTGGATATTGTTTAATTTCATTGAAATCATGAACTGACATTAGCACCGTTAGATACTCACTCAGTGGTTTCCAGATTGTGTTCGCGCGAGAGACCGAAGGTACTGGCCCCAATTCCTGGTTGTGAGGTCATGAATGCGTACTCCCGAGGAGTTGCATTTCAAAACGAAAAGGCACAGAGATGCAGTTGTCGATTCAAATCCCGTAGTGGTAGAGGTAGTGATAGTGTGGTGGGAGTAATCGGAAAGATTAGGGTTTGAAGATATTTAAGGAGTATAATCCAATGAAATAAATTTGGCAAGAGCAAAAAGGGACATGAAGAATTCAGATGATTAGAATTTGGGAGAACACAAAGGGTGGATGCACCTGCGCCATTGCAAACGATTTTGAGCCATTTCATTCAAGATCTCTAACCATCGGTAGCTATCGTCTCGCAGATCCCAACCAGGTAGTCTACATCTGCCAACATGGCTCAGTCCACTTGTTATTGGCTTTTAGTGGTCAGAAGACTCTGCATTTTGTCAGCGTCTTCGCTAAATAGGACTATGTCATCGGCATATTCTAACTCAACAAGTGGATCCCTCGGTAAAAGTTCAACTCCTGGAAATTTAGATGAGGAATGTGTCATCTCTAAAAGTACGTCAACGACAAAGTTAAACAAGAATGGAGAGAGTGGACAGAAACATTAATTTTCAATCCTTTAAATAGAGTCCACAACATATAAATCCTTTAACTTTTCTTGTGCTTATAGTTTCAGGTACTTGTTTGAACAAATCAAGTTACAATTAAGAAGGATCACCATCGATTTATAGTGATACCGTACCTTGCTAAATCATTTTAATTGTGCCACCTTTTTAATAATAACAAAGTGTCTATCACTCTTTATCCCATCTCTGTTAATGAGTAGGTTAGTACTCTTCTAAGTAGTCTATAGTTTAATGTAAAAGGATATATTACTATGGTTTAAATTCTACAGTCATATAGTTGTCTTTTAATGACAAAATTATCAATCTAAAGTGAGTCTCAAATTGCCAACAAATGCTCTGGTACGGCCGAGAGTGGGGAGAGTCCGCTCTGCCTCTCGAAATGCTCTCACATGGCCACGCGTATATAGCCTCTGCCAGGGAAGTACTACTCACTACCTTCTCGTGGCGGGGGTGTTGTTTACGAAATTGAGAGGATGAAAGGTGAATGTCCTGCGCTTTAATCGGGTTGGTGAACACGGAGAGTCCACCCAAGGGAGTTGGAAAACCCTGATTCCAAACCAATGGCGCACATGGGCTCCAGTATCTTGAAGGAACAAATGGCGTATGAGCCAATCGTTGGTCACCGACTACCATGGCATTGCATCTCCTTACGATGTTCCACTGCGTTGTGGATCAGATCTTCAGGTTGAAGGCTCGGGGTGTGGCCACCTAAGAAAACCACCTGTTTCGGTTTGGGCACTTGTGCAGTATCACAGCCCTCACACATATCAAATGAGATTTGTGTGGCGCATATGTATTTGGGGCCTCCTTGTACCAATATCTATGTGTTAAAATAAATAATAAAATAAATGAGTCTCAAATTGTATATGATATTTGTTTAATATAAAATTGTATATTTTTTAAGGTTATGGATCCTTAGGTCTTATGACATCTGTATTAATGTGTCCTGATGGGAAAACTATTGAATCTGAAGCAGCTCATGGAACTGTTACACGTCATTATAGAGAGCATCAAAAAGGTTTTCCAACTAGTACAAATCCAATTGCTTGTATATTTGCATGGACTAGAGGTTTGGAACATAGAGGCAAATTAGATGGAAATAATCAATTAATTGAGTGAGTTTTATTTATTTTTGTATAAAGTAACCTGATGAGAAATCTTTATTATGTTTTGAAATGGTGGAGAAGATTTGTAGTTCAGGTGGATGATTTTGATGAATTTTTTTCTCTGGGCTGGATGGTTTGGTCGTTGAGCTTTCATCGTTCTTCTGAACGACATCATCAGCACAAACTTCAGATGTTTTCATTAATGGTTTTATTAATCAATATAGTAATATAGTGACTTAATTAAAACGATCGATTTGTTCATTATGTAATACTTGGATTATGAAATCATGTAGGTAAAAAATATTTTATTGTTATATAAGATGATTTCTGGATTAACGTATATTTTTGAACAATTTGACATGGTTAAGGTTGGGAAGAATACTGTTGTATGGTAGTGCTAAAATAATACTGTAAATAAGCTGACGAACTTTGAAGCAATGTGTCAATTTTGTTCATTTATCGCTGATATCGGTCTTAAGTAGTGTTGCTCTATGCTCCAAGGTTAAATTGAACAAACAAACTCATTTGGGTCTACATTAATATTCTTTTATGTGCTACATAGTGATGTGTGAGCGAGAATGATCATGATTGGTTGTCTGCTTACTCAGACATGTAGACAATCTGATAGATTTCAGATAAGTTATATATTCCTTTATCCTTATTATTGTGACACACATACACTTACTATTGATTGTTCATTGTTGTGGATTGTGTCGGTTTTTGGTGTGAAAATATATTTACGTTCTGGCCAGGCTAAGTACGTGTTCTTGATCTGAGTTGTGTTGACGTCCTGTAGAATAGACACTGGGAGGGATCTAGTGTAGATAATCGTTTAAGCGTTATAACATTAGACGAAGTAATCCCGAGCGTAATAACACATAGATAAAAAAAATTTCACTGTAATCAAAAAGTAACTGGATAAATAAGCAATATATCTTTGTTTCCTCTCCTTGAATCGTCACCGATTGAGTTTTCTTATTTTTTTGATTGAATTAAACTGTATTAACTGAGACAATTGTTCCATTATTAATCTCTGATTGTTAAAAGATTAATGGGATATTTCTACTATAGAATAATTAGGTTAGATGCAGAGTATTAGGAATAATGATAAATCAGTTGAGGTTGTGAATCTTTGTCAACTGAAATAGTTAGGCCACGTGCTGCGTATACCTGAACACCGATTACCACGACATGCAATGCTGACTAGTATTGGGGATGGTTGGAATAAAGTTAGTAGCGACCAAACCAAAACGTCGCATCAGTCATAGAAGTCACTAACTTCCGGTCTGAGCCATGTTGGTAGATGCAGACTACTTGATTGGTGTCCGTGTGACTGTACACTGATTATAAACTGTGCGTGACATGGTTCGGAATCGATCAGAATGGCTTAGGTGTATACCCTCTCTGTGTTCCTTTAAACTATGAGATTGAATTCGCTTCACATCTCTCTTTCTGTACTATGCCCTTATACACTATCTTTCTTTTATATATTACCACCACTGAATTAACCACTTTATGAATTCGGTGTTCATCTTGTTGTGCTAATGAGGTATGGTAACTTGTACCGATGTATATATGTGCCTGGTCCTACATTGTAGCTGACTGACTGACTATAGAATTTTATTATAACCAAATATAAGTCAGGAAGAGGGAGGTTGATTATGAATACAGTGGTCTTGAGTTCTGTTAGAGGCATGAGGGCGATTATCACTTCCCGGTTGCCCACACCGTGAAAGGGTTCTTCTGGAGGTATTTGAAGAAGTTGGATTAGAGGTGGTCTTAGTGACCTGAGAACGTGACCGCAGTGCCCAAGGGACAACTGCTTGAGGTCGGTCACACACGACCTTTTTATGAGTAATTTTTTGGTTAATTCCGTACGTGTTGAGATCTTACCACCGGAGACGGATATCCGTGGGATAAGGTGAGGTGTGCATTTTTCGTGTTGACATTTCCTACCCACATCCATCCTTGTGGGAAGGCAACATCGCTGTTATACTGGTTGCCTGCTGTCACACCTCTGTACAGACTTCGCCTTCGGACCTTGGATTTGTTGCTTTTAGTCTTACCGCTCTTCAACCGACCTGTCTGGCATGGTAGGACGGTTGTTCCAACCAGTATAGCTCGATTGGTTCATCACGATAGGCAAGCACGACCACCACGTCAAGGTAGCAACAACGGTCAGGAACCAAATATAAACTGACAGTGTTTTCAATCTTATTCCAGATTAAAATAATTGTAAATTATTTCTAAAATTGTATTTATTGATTTATTTGTTTGTTTATCTTTTATTTTATTAACAGATTCTGTCATCATCTAGAAAAAGCTTGTATTGATACTGTAGAATCAGGTAAAATGACAAAAGATTTAGCTATTTGTATCCATGGTAGTAAAAATGTTAAATTAGAACATTATTTAACAACTATGGACTTTCTAGATGCAATTGTTGATCGATTTAAACAAATCAATTTGAAATAGTGTACTTATTTACTTGTTTCTTTCCTTCCCTCCTCTCCCTTATGTTTAATGACAACATTTATCAATGTGTGAAAAATTTTTTTTGTTGAAAAAATTCTTATTAATTTTTGACTGTTTAATACTATTGATAAGTTTGTACTTCATTATTTGTTTTTTTTTGTAATTCATGTCACATAAAGAATATTTTTATCATCTCAAAAGTTATATAAATCTGCTTTTTATTGTGACGGGTGGTAGTGTCCAAAATCAGATATTGATACACGTTGTACTATGTGTCAATCTCCAAACTGACTACTTCAACGAGAACACAAAAGTGAGCATGAAAGTGTGAGGGACTACCGACTGAAATGCTCGCGCGCGAAACCACTAGGTCCTGGGTTCGAATCTCCCAGGGGGCGAGGTCGTGAATGCGCACTGCTGAGGAGTTCCACAATAAGACGAAACGGCCGTCCAGTGCTTCCAGGTTTTCCATGGTGGTATAGCTTCAACTGACTCATGATCTTAATGATTGAAATCACTACAATCTCCACAAAGCCCCTTCTGATAATTATCTGTCTTCATCAATCAAAACGAAACTTTGCCCCCAAATGCCCTGGTACGGCCGAGAGTGGGGAAAGTCCGCTCTCCCTCTCCAAATGCTCTCACATGGCCATGCGTATATAGCCTCTGCCAGGGAAGTCCTACTCACTGCCTTCACGTGGCGGGGGTGTTGTTTACAAAAATGAGAGGACGAAAAGCGAATGTCCGACGCTTTAACCGGACCCCAAACCAATGGTGCACATGGGCTCCAGTATCCTGCGGGAACAAATGGCGTATGAACCAATCGTTGGTCACCGGCTACCATGGCATTACATCTCCTCACGATGCTCCACTGCCTTGTGGGTCAGACAGTCAGGTCGAAGGCTCGGGGTGTGGTCCCCTAAGAAAACCACCTGTTTCGGTTTGGGCACCCGGGCAGTATCACAGCCCTCACACAAATCAATTGGGATTCGTGTGGCGCATATGTATTTGGTGCCTCCTTGTACCAATACCTATGTGTTAAAATAAATAAATAATATATATATATATATATATATATATATACCATTCCAATGTTCAGGAAATTGATCCATTCGTTAGCGAATATAATACACTTGTCCTTTAGATTGTCATTTATTGACCTTATGATTAGCACTCCATATCCCTTTTTCTATATTTTGTTGATTGATAAAAATCTACTTTAAATGGATATCATTAAGCAGCTCGAACATATTGATTTTCATGTATGTTGTTTGAAATGTGAAATGATCTTTCAAGCTTTATTTTAACTAGTATATTTCCTTAAACTTTTATTGACGTGTTCTATTTATTTCACTATATGTAACTTATATATCAGGGATTTCAATTGATTTGAATAATGAGAAATTCGATCAGTGTATTTTGTACCCAAAATCTTAAGTTTATTTACAATAACAGGTTTCATCATTATTCAGTTGCTGGTTTTTTTTTTATCAGTTTAGTAACTTCTGTTATATCTTGTAAGTGATTTTAAATGATTATTTGTAATTCAGTAAAATTAGTATTAAGAAGTGATTTGATTGGTTAAACTTTTGAGAAATTTCTTCAGCTTTGCTCAAAATTAGTCAGCAAAATGTTTTTTAGACGGAGTATTGTACATCTTATTCGAAGTTCGATCAGTACGTTGAAAAATTATTTTTATTTATTATTTTAACACAAAAGTATAGGTACAGGGAGGCACCAAGTACATATGCGCCACACAAATCTCATGTGATATATGTGAGGGCTGTGATACTGCTCGGGTGCCCAAACCGGAGCAGGTGGTTTCCTTACGGGGCCACACCCCGAGCCTTCGACCTGAACGTCTGACCCACAACGCAGTGAAGCATCGTAAGGAGATGCAGTCCCATGATAGCCGGTGACCAACGATTGGTTCATACGCCATTTGTTCCTTCAGGATACTGGAGCCCATGTGCGCCATTGATTTGGGATCCGGTTAAAGCGCCGGACATTCGCTTTTCGTCCTCTCATTTTCGTAAACAACACCCCCGCCACGTGAAGGCAGTGAGTAGGACTTCCCTGGCAGAGGCTATATACGCATTGCCATGTGAGAGCATTTTGAGAGGGAGAGCGGACTCTCCCCACTCTCAGCCGTACCAGGGCATTTGGGGGCTTTGAAAAATTATATGTTTATATGTTAACTAATTAGTTCATTTAGTTTGTTTCCAATATTAAGGAAGAATAAGAATGTATTTGTAAACTCTCAGCGAATAAATTTGAAGTAAATTCAACGTGGTGAAACTTAATCAGTTGAGATGGTTGGGGCATGTGTTACGTATGCCCGAACACTAACTGCCCCGACGTGCGATGTTTTATGGCGTAGGAGTTGGTTGGAAGAAAGATAGGGGCGGCCAAATTAAAACATGGCACAAATCCACGAAGTCACTAACAAGTGAACTGAGTGAGTCATGTTGGTAGATGTAGACTACCTGGTTAGGATCCGTGATATGATAGCGACCGATGGTTAGAGATCTTGAATGACATGGCTCAAAATCGTTTGCGATGGCGCAGGTTCATCCACTCTTTGTGTTCTCCCAAATTCTAATCATCTGGATTCTTCATGTTCCATTTTGCTCTTTCCGAATTTATTCCACTGGATTATACTTTTTGAATAACATCTAGAAATCCTAATCATTCCGATTACTGCTTATACTTTTACTACCTCTACCACTGTGGGATTTGAATCGACAACTGCATGTGTGTGCTAATGTGGTATGACAACTCGAACTGATGTACGTACGTACGAAGTTCCACGTTGTTACTGACTGACTTAAATCCAACGTTTCACCTGACAATCTGGTCCAAACTTTTTCAAAGAATTATAATCAAAATTATGGAATATAAATAAGTTTTAGTGTCGTTTACTATGTTAAGCTCATATAACCTATTCTAGCTTGTGAACAGGCCAATTTATCCATTCTACTTGAATCATATTTTGACCTTGTTAATTATTCACTTACCAATCTTGACTGTTTTTATATGAGCGTATGTGTGTGTACAGTTCTTTTCCTATTCATCACATATCTATAGCTTATTTTTGTGTGACTAAATATTGATTAAATGGAGTTGGACTACATGGCTTCTCCACCGCGCGTCATTTTGCTCCGCTCTCTTCGCTTCGTTCCTCTGATTGTCTGTTCAGATCAATGAGTGTATAAAATATATATATTCGGGAATTCATTCTCCTATTTGACTTATTTCTGTTATTCACCAACGCGATTTAAGTCGATTATATAGGAGAATAACCAGGATGTATATTTCGATAACAATCAATGATACGATCCAATTGGAGTCAGATCGTGGGCCATAAAGTACATGGTTTTCTGGTTAATTGTATTCTAAACAGGTCATTCAGTCAACGTTAACAATTCATTCGCTGAAGTTTTACAAATACATTCTTACTCCTTAATATCTTACATCAATTCGGCGCTTAAATACTATAATGATATTCGATCAAATTTAGATAGTAGTTCTTATATATTGTTTCCAATACTTTTCAAATAGTTAAATAATCAATAAAAAGGTGAACATTTACCTACTTATTTGTTATTTATTGAGAAGAACTATGAATTATTTCTTTGTTTGACTGTGTATCAGTCTACACTTTAAACTAACCTTAACCTTGTCTAGATTTTCATTTAACCTATGTCTGAAACATAATCATGACCTATCATTTCGATACACATAAAGCATTTTTTGTCTATTAATACCTATCGATTTCCTCGAAAATCGCATAGCATATAAAATGGTAGTCACCATAATTACTACCCAGTAAAGTGCAGTTTGATATTAATAAGTATAGATACACAATGGATTTATATACTACTTTAAAGATTTGACATAAACTCATGTCTTTTCAACAGTTGAGATCATAAGTCAATTAAAGCTAGACCACCGTGGAAAACCTGGATGCACAGGACGGCCGTCTCGTCCTATCGTGGGACTCCTCAGCAGTGTATATCCACGCGAGATTCGAACCTAGGACTTACCAGTCTCGCGTGTGAGTGCTTAACTATTAGACCACTAAGCCGGCTGGCATCCAGCGGTGTTAATGTCTAACTTCAACCAATCCACAAAGTTACGTTACCGTCACCATTGTCTTCATTGAGTTACTATCTCACCTGGTTGAACTCCACTGGTCACAGCTTCTCACTAGAACTCCAAAAGTGTCTCTTGAAGTCAGTCACTAGTGAGCAGACGATTATTATCTGAAGGGGTTTTGTAGAGATTTTAGAAATTTCACTTGTTGAAATCATGAGTCACTTGAAGCTAGCTTCCAGGTTTTCCATGGTGGTCTAGCTTTAATTCACTCATGATCTCAACTGTTGAAATTACTACAATCTCCACAAAATCCCTTCTGATAATAAACTCATGTATTAGTCTGATCATCGTTATTCTTACTGAAATATTCCATTACCTCATGGAAAACTATTAGTGATATACTGGATCAATCAAATATAGACCAAAAGACAGGCGTAATCTACTTGCCAAGATTTGACTCTATTTTCTAAGGAAAGTGAAGAATATCATTGATTGCAATGTAACTTTATTTTATAAAAAGGGGGGATATGTATTCATGATTGAGTGTACATATATTCTAGACTCTGTTTTCTTGGTCAATAAATCTTTCTACTCATCGGTTTTCTCAAATAATTGGTTTGGCCTCAAGTATAGAAAGCTTGTTATTAGTAGCAGACTGAAACAACCGTAAAATAAAACATGTAGATTTGATTATCTAACATTAAGATCTCATGTGGCTTAGTTATTCTAAACAGTTGATTTTTTCAATCGTTGATATCATGAGTCAATTGAAGCTAGAACACCATGGAAAACCTGGAAACACTGTACGGTCGTTTTGTCCTATTGTGGGACTCCTCAGCATATTTGAAGTGGTGAGAATTTACCATTTTAGAAACTAGTCAATGTTTTGCTGTGGATGGATTACTAAAATATCTTAGACATGTCGTGGTCTTTATATGTTTTCCTAAGTACTTGAATTCTCTTCCATAATGATACATAGAAAATTAGTTTTATCGTTGTTCTTATGACTTGTTTATGATGATAAATGTAATTTGAATTACCTTCTGTAAATGTCATCCAGCAGTTTTGTATAATTTTATGAAGAAAAATAAACTAAGTATCCAATTTCTTGACACAAAGATGACGAAGATGCATTAATTGACACTCACCAATAGGAAAATGAGTTTAATTATATACCTAGT